TTGTTGTTTGCTGGAGAGCGATGGCGCGCACGAAGCAGACGGCGCGTAAGTCGACGGGCGGGAAGGCGCCCCGCAAGCAGCTGGCCACCAAGGCGGCCCGCAAGAGCGCGCCGGCCACGGGCGGCGTGAAGAAGCCGCACCGCTACCGGCCCGGCACGGTGGCGCTGCGCGAGATCCGGCGCTACCAGAAGTCGACGGAGCTGCTGATCCGCAAACTGCCCTTCCAGCGCCTGGTGCGCGAGATCGCGCAGGACTTCAAGACCGACCTGCGCTTCCAGAGCTCGGCCGTCATGGCGCTGCAGGAGGCCAGCGAGGCCTACCTGGTGGGGCTCTTCGAGGACACCAACCTCTGCGCCATCCACGCCAAGCGCGTCACCATCATGCCCAAGGACATCCAGCTGGCCCGACGCATCCGCGGCGAGCGCGCCTAAACCCGGTTAGAACGTTACCGTGTAGTTTCAGAACATTTTAGCCAACACAAAGGCTCTTTTAAGAGCCACTACATACACCCTAAAAAGAGCTGCAATGCTAATACTATTTTTTAAATGGATGTCACTTTAGAAGATATTTCTAAAGTGTATTTAAGTTTTTAGGTTTGTAGATAATGCAATAGCTATTAATGAGGTGTTATGTATAATCGGGGTAATCAGCAATGCAGACCCTAATGAGCTGTGTGAATATACTCGAACTCTTTCAGTTTCCCTCTGAATTACATCAGAATCTGAGCTGGCCTCACCCTGAGTGCCAAGCGGACCCCTAATTTTGGCACGTAAGTCAAAGTCTCTGAAAAATTTCCTGAAATATGTATCAGTTTCTCGATACAAGTATACTCTATTGTATTAATCTAAAAAATACTACATGAGTAAAAGTGAGATAGTCGCCACTATTGCTGGGAATCCGCTTTTTCTCTGTGCTCTGTGCCGGCCCGTTGCCCTTACTGAGTCCGAGAGCAGGGTTTAACTCGTATCCCCCTCTGTGCGTCTCGTGTCGGGGACGGACACGGAAGGGAGCCAGCGGTGGGGGTTTGCGGATGTAGGGAAACGTAGTTTTGGAAGGTCGGAAAGGTTAGGGTAGTCCGGTGCTGGCAAGGAACGAAATCTTCCCGCAAGTGAAAGCCCCCGCTTGAAACAGCGCGGGGAGCTGTACCGCATTTCCCGTCTCCCGGTATCCCACCCCCGCTTTGCTCCCGCTCGCTGACACAGCCACGCTGTCTCTTTTCCTCTCGACCCCCTCAGCTCTTCCCTTCCCCCCCGTCTGCTTCCAAGCGATTTAAAAACGAAAACGGACGATAGAAGGGAAGGGGCGGCCCCGCGGGTCGGTGCGGCGGCGGCGGCGGAGCCGGGCTGGGAGGTTCCCGCGCGGGCGGAGGCGCCTGAGAAATCCCGCCCCCGCGGCCTCGCCATTGGCCGCCTGGAGAGCGCGAGCGGAGGCCGCTCAGCGCTGAGCCCCTCGCCATTGGTCGGGACGAGATTCGCCGCGCCATTGGGTGCGCGTTCAGCGATAGGCGGCTCGGCCTATCAGGAGCCGGGGCCGGGCGGGGGCAGGGGTATAAGGGCGGTCCCGGGGCGGTGGGGGACAGCGAGGTGCTGCCCGGTGTGTGTGCGGGAGCTGCGGAGCGTTTGATCGGTCGCTTGATTCTGAGATGTCCGGCCGCGGGAAGCAGGGCGGGAAGGCGCGGGCCAAGGCCAAGTCGCGCTCGTCGCGGGCCGGGCTGCAGTTCCCCGTGGGCCGCGTGCACCGGCTGCTGCGCAAGGGCAACTACGCGGAGCGGGTGGGCGCCGGCGCCCCGGTGTACCTGGCGGCCGTGCTGGAGTACCTGACGGCCGAGATCCTGGAGCTGGCGGGCAACGCGGCCCGCGACAACAAGAAGACGCGCATCATCCCCCGCCACCTGCAGCTGGCCATCCGCAACGACGAGGAGCTCAACAAGCTGCTGGGCAAGGTGACGATCGCGCAGGGCGGGGTGCTGCCCAACATCCAGGCCGTGCTGCTGCCCAAGAAGACCGAGAGTCACAAGGCCAAGAGCAAGTAAAGCGTGCCTGGAGGAGCGTCCCGAGCGCGGAAACGAAACCCAAAGGCTCTTTTCAGAGCCACCCACAACCTCGAGAAAAAGAGCTGGAGTTGTTTCTTCTGCTGCTGCTGCGGGGTGTATTCGGCAGGGGAGGAGGGAGTGTGTGTGCGTTTGTCACGGGAGGTCGGGGAGGGTTGTAAGGTTAGCGGAGAGGCGCCTGGTCGCTCTGCTGCAGCTGGGCAAGGTGCGGGTTTCTTCGTGGGCACCGCCTGCCCCGGCCTTTGGGCGGGAGGAGCTCGGTTCTAACTCCCGGTCGGGCAGCGCCCGGGACGGAGGCTGCGCTGGGGGAGCGCCCCGGGAGCGGAGCGCGGGCTTTGCCGAGCGCGGAATCGCCCGGCGCCAATCGCCGTCCGCGCGGGCTTTTCGAAAGAGCGAGGGCGCTTAACCCTCCCGGGGGTGGGGAGGGAACCCGGGGACAAAGGCTGCCAGCGCCCCCCCGCGCCCGAGCCCAGTCCTGTCACAGCATTTTCTGCCTACGGGCGTGGGGAGACAAATGATCCGCCGCTCCGTAACAGAGAACTCTCTGAGACAGATGTAGGTTTTTGCCTTTTTTATTGTTGTTTTTATTTTGTTGTTGCAGGGGATCTGTTCCCCGGCCCGCGGGTCCCTAAATGGGGACACGGGACTGGCACCTGCTGCCCCAGCACTTTCCAGGACTTTGTGGCATCAGTAAAACTCCCCGGGGAAAGTCGAGAAATAGCTCGTGTCTCAGAAAGCTTTTCTCAAAGCGGCTGCCGGGGAGAAAAGAGACAGCACTGGGAGGGGTAATGATGCAGCAACAGGGCGCTAGAGAGGAGCCCAGAGCCTAAACGGCTCATCAGTCCGGCTGTAGCTCCGTAACAGGGGCTGGGGTTGGTGATAGGGAGACCGAGACCATACAGAAAAGAAGCCGCTTACGGTAATAACAACATAGAATCACACAAAGCGACACAGCTCCTTACAAAGAAAAAGTGGGTGGCTCTTAAAAGAGCCTTTGGGTTCTCGAGATGGATAGTCCGGGGGTGGCAGGCGATCAAGGCTTTAGCCGCCGAAGCCGTAGAGGGTGCGTCCCTGTCGCTTGAGGGCGTAGACCACGTCCATGGCCGTCACCGTCTTCCTCTTGGCGTGCTCGGTGTAGGTGACGGCGTCGCGGATGACGTTCTCCAGGAAGACCTTGAGGACGCCGCGCGTCTCCTCGTAGATCAGCCCCGAGATGCGCTTGACGCCGCCGCGCCGAGCCAGGCGGCGGATGGCCGGCTTGGTGATGCCCTGGATGTTGTCGCGCAGCACCTTGCGGTGGCGCTTGGCGCCCCCCTTGCCCAGCCCCTTCCCGCCCTTGCCTCTGCCAGACATGGCTGCTCTCTGCCGCTGCTGTGCCGAGATCTGTGCTAGAAACCCCCGGGTCTGGGTTTTTATGTCTATGGAGCCGACCTGATTGGGAGCAGGGGCGGGCACGGCCGGAGGGGGCGGGGCTTGCGCTCCTCCTCCTGGGCGGGCGGGCGCCGCGGCGTCTTCAGGCCCTTCGCCTCTTTCGGGCTCCTCCCCGGGGCCGCCCGCCTTCACCGCCCCTTTCCCCGCCTCCGTCGAGGCCTGCGCCTCCCTTGCCTTTCCCCGGTCCCGGTTGCCCTGAAGTGACTTTTACCCGGCATCTTCCCTTCCCGGCAGGGCGGCGACGCACAGTCCTCCCTTTTATGATGAGCCAAGCGCACCCATGAGCAGGGAACGGGTGGCCTTAAGGCCCCCAATGGCTCTTGCTGAGGTGATGCTGACCTGATCTCAACGCTTCTGAGGTCACATCTCAAGGACTCGATGAGACTGCATTGAGAACTGGCAGCTAATTGGATGAACTAATAGTTCATCTTGGTGGCCTTTTGCTAGGATTTGCCTTATGCTGTGAAGCATCAGTAAATTCACAACCCAGAAAAAAGTGTACGTGTTTTTCTAGAAGCTTGATATGCCTCACTCAGAGTATTGCAGCACTGGGGAGTCTGCAAACTGGAATTCAGCATAGGACTGTAGAAGGCCCTTTATTTGCTACCTTGTTTCTGGAATGTTGCTTCATATTAAGTCCCAGACATCCTGGTCACATTAAAAAAACATTATGTTTCTATTTAGATCACTCATAGTAGCTGGATGAAAACTAGTCATGCATGGCAAATGCACAATAGAAATGGCTACGTCAGCTATGTGCCTGTGTACCTCCATGTTTTCAAAGGCCTTACATCATTCTGAGTATATAGATATTCTTTCTTTGATGTAATATGTTTTCCTCTCATGAGTGTACATTGCCAGTGACAAGAATTCTCTTTATAATTTTCATACAACTTCATGACTCTGCAAATCAGTCATTGTGACTGTTAGAAATACACCTCATTTCTCCCGGGTATCCTTGCAGTCTTCCTTTTTGTAGTTTAGGGCCTACTGGGGCTATGAGATCAGCATAATTCCAACATGGAGGGTTTGCCAGTGCTCATCGTGGCCAAATGCATGCACCATTATCCACACAGAGACAAAGGAGATCCTTTCAAGATGAAGAGGTCAGGGAGATCTTTGTGAATGCTGACAACCTTTTGTCTTTGGCATTTGGTTCTCCCTCAGTCACAGTGACCCCAGGAGGGAAGGTCTGTGTGAGTGATGGGATCTAAAAATATAATGGTGAGGTAATTCTTTCTCAGTATCTTTCACTTCTGATATTTTATGTAGGAATGTCTCTGCCTGGCCCTGCCTCATTTCTTTTTCTTTGTTCTTTCAAATGGCTTGTCATTCCCTTTGCTTCAAATATACTCTCTCCACCTCTCTTCAGCTACAGGAAAGGGGTGCAGTTCACTCTCTCTGCTGGCTGCCGTTTTGCCCCACTTCAGCTACACCGTAGAAATCATGTTTTCCAGCAGCATTTTGTAACACACGCACACACTGAGGGCACTTAACAGTATATAAATGAGATTCTCTTCTATGAAAGGAATACACCATGTAGTATACATGTCCATCACTCATTTGTCCACTTCCCACTGTACCTGTTCTTCAGCCTTTTATAATTTCTCCTGTTGAAGCCACATCCTAAACCATGAAAAATGAGAGCTGCTATATGCAGAGAAAGCAATCAATCAACACACAGGAGAAAAATTCACTCAAACGTTCTTCTATTCAAAAACATTCCCCCTGAACTGGTTAGTCCCTAGCCTATGAATCACTAGGACCTAAGGCAGAATTTTCATGAAATATCAGTTATTGTTTTTACACACTTATTTTACTGGCCCCTGTCAGAGACAGGATATTGGTGCAGATGGAAATTTCCTGTGAATTGCTTTGTTCTTCCAGTTTTATGTTCATAGGTCTCCATCCAGAATGCAATTCAAAGCACAGCACAATCTCAAGGTTGTCCCACTCATATTGCCCGTTCATTTGTCCCCATTCTGGATCCCTGCTGATATTCCTAACTGCAGAAACAAGTTCTACCACTACACTCTGTATTCTTCCTTTGTCCTCTCCCAGAGTTAGGGCTTGTGTCCCCCAGTACTAGCCTAATAGGTCATGAGCTAGTGTCTCCTTCAGCACTCAAGAGATCATAATCAGGCAACGAAAAACCTCAAAACAATCCAAACCAGAGCTAAGATGATTCACCACGTTAGGAGAATAATCACGATGTAAAATGAAAAAAATCCAAAACAACAAAAAACAACCCACCCACCATTTTCCTTAGTGTCAAATGCAAACAAGTATTCCTGTCCTCATTCACTGTTGTTGCTCACATTGGTTACCCTTGAAAGCCTTTGCATGTACTGAACATGCCAAGGCCTGCTTTATTCTAAAGAATTAATAAGAAAAGCAGAGATTAGACCTTTGCCTCCACTTAAGCTTTTGTTCAACTGTTGAGCCTAAACCCTTTTTTGGTCTTTTTGTTTTTCTTCTCTTTTTCTTTCCTTTGCTGTGCCCCCTCTCTGTCCCAGGAAGATGTTTATATAAATGAACATGCATTAAATCTGGACAGTTAGTATCAGAATTCCTCAAACGTTTACCTTGTTGTTCAGCAGGAGCTTTTCTCAACAGCTTTTGGTAATTTGGACTATTAAGTTTCCTTTCTTATAGGTGCCTCCTATTGCAGTTTGGGTAAACCCATAAACCCAGCTGATTTCTTTTTACTTACCACCTTTAAATAACTGGACACAGGGTGGTCCCTTCTCCTAGCTGCTCAGTGCTGCCTTGTGTGCTGGTCTATTTAACCATGGAAGTAAATGTAAAATGTTACAAACTACTAACCTCAAACAGCACACAAAAGTTAAACAAGTTATTCTACTCCTCATTTCATGCACAAAGAAACCAAAATTTGATTGCATTTTTAGTGTCTAAACCAGAAAAACATTGTGTCAGGAAGACCAAGATTTAGACAATATACCTGACATGGAATCCAATCCTTCTTGCTGGAATCAGTTCATACAAGGCAGGCTGCAGGCAAAATATATTCTTCTTGAATGTGCCTACACTGTATACACACACTTTCTTGAGGCTGTGAAGCCAGATTCCTGACTTCCTAACTGTCTGATAGCAGGAGTGCTGGGTAACTGGCCTCAGATGTATATTGTGCCCCTGGCAGTCTGGGTGACATCCTCACCAGGGACAGTGGTGCTCTGGCACCAGCCCACGGAGTGCACAGCTGCAAAGCATGTACTGTAAAAAACATAAGCTACAGCACAGCACCTGTGTGTACTGAACAACTCTTCAATACCTTTTTGATCCCTTCTATGAGAAGGCAGCCAGCCTATAGTGCTGGCACCCAAGCGCTGCCTCACCACACTCCTGCTTTAGAAACTGTGCCGGTACCTGCTGGAGACAGTATCTGCTTCACCCCAACACTTCTGAGGAAAACTGGCACGGCAGCATCACTTAATGAGAGCACCTTCACATGCTGTGTGACACAGTGCTTGGGCTGTCATTGACAGGGGAAGTGCAGCCTACACAGCCTCTGAGTGCCACCATCACTGCCTCTGTGGCAAAAAAATGCATTGCCTGCCAACCCAAATGTACCTGGAAGCCTGTCACATCAGGGCCTGGGGTGTCACCAGCCAGGGAGATGGTGGATTGCAAAGCAGCTGTGCAGCCTAACCAAGGACACTTTGTCCCTCCACAGGTACAAAACATGGCTCTGGCTGGAGGGAGCATGTGGAGTTGTCACACTGCTCCCTCCCTCTTACCAGCATCCACAGGGAGCACTTGCACACAAATAGGAAAGTGGAGGGCAGAAATCATGCAGAAGACCTGGGGTCTCATGGGGAGGAAAAGCGGGTTGCTCAGCATTGGTCTGTGCGAGCGATGCTGCTCTGTGCTGCCAGGCTGCTGTGCTGATGGAGAGTCTGCTCTGAACGGACACTGTGGTGGCACCTTTCCTTTGTGGAATTCACTATGAAAACGCAGCTGAAAGTCAGGCAGTGTTGATTCAGGAGGAGATGATTTCTTTGGGGAGCCCCGGTTGATGGAGCTTCTGTTAACGCTGTTTAACTTTCATGGACAGTTTGTCTCGGGCCTGAGGTCCTCATTTGCTGGTTGATGACTACATTGAAAGCACGCCAGTGTGGTCCAGAAGACAGTTTGTCAAGTGCCTTAGGTTAGTTTTAGAAGACCAGAGTACTTTGAGACATAAATAATGCTGTTCTTTGGTATCTGACTGACAGTGAGGATCTTTTCTTTGCCTGTGTCTGAGAAAAGTAAAAATGTGTTAACCTGGTAAACTCCTGTACAGTAGAGAACAAAGTGACTCTTTTTTTTCCTCATTAGCTGTTCAGAGAAGGATTTTGGCCCCCTGCATTTTTGCTGGGTTTTTCTCTCCTTCCCAGGAAGAGTATCCCTCCCAGCGCCTCCTAACTATGGACATATCCAGGTTTTGGACTATAGGTTTTCAATTGCCAAATGACATGCCATGGCAATAATGAAGGGAGGCCACAATAGGTGCCCCAACCCTTAACCAAGAGTACAGGGAGGAGTTTGCAACATTCCAGGAAGCTGAGTCTACGGGGACAGTCATCCATTGCCCTACCCTACTTGTCCTGCCCACTATAGATGTTCAGCCATACACTGGATTTAAAAGGCCTTGTGTGGCCTCATTTACACTAAGGAGTCTTAACAACAGCAGGAGCAGCAACATTAGTATTATGTAGGCTGAGACTTGTTTGCTGAGCTGCAACGAGTTTGTAGTTTGGTAGGTACCACTTTAAAATTGCTTGGCTAAGGGTTAAAAGCTGTTAAACTGTGCTGGCTGGTTTGATCACAGGAGTTATTACATTTGTAACTCAGATGAAGGATGAAGTCACTGAGGGCAAGACAGACATGGGTGTAACACTGTAATAAGAGTGTAATCACTGTTGCAGGGAGTATTTACACCTTTTTCCTGTGGAACATGTATGTGGGAGGGCAGCACATAACGTAAAGGCTCTCACCTAAATCTCTCTGGAAATTGTCACTTGGAGGAAGGAGAGGGTCTGTGGTGCACACGCAAATCAGCTGTACTCGCTCCAGCTGTCTAAGAATGACTGACCACAACCCTCACCTACAGCAGGTAGAGCAGCCCATTAGCCACATTTATGTGGCTAGCTCTCATATTAATGCCTCCTAACAAAATTGCCTGAGAAGAACAACTACTGTGCCACCTCTCATTATTGCAAAAATATCTAAATATAACCCAGAGCTCATTTTCTTAAGAACAAGTACCGGCAGGTACTAAACTGGAGATGGGAATGTTTGATAGCTCTTGGGTGCAGTGCCAGCCCCTGGCTGCGGTTCATGCGTCTCCTTGCTTATACCAAGAGGTCTTAATAGATAACTGCAAAAAGTTGTACAGATCTAGGTATGTGAAGGGAAGTGGCCTGCAGGGTTCAAATTGCAATCTTACACAGCTTTGTGATGTAGTGTGGCCTGTTGGGGTGCCCAGGAGGTGAGAAGGATTGAAGGCGTTCAGATTTCATAGACATTACAGCGATGCTTTCCCTAAAAGTAACTCTGGAGATCCTGATATCACTTCCCTCCTTGTTTAAGGAATGATGAAGTCTACCTCCCTCCAATCTCATTGGGAAAGCCAAACTGCTTGTGAGAGGCTACATGGCACCTTCTTCATGAAGTCTTTCTACAATATCCTAGACCTAAACCAGGCTTATTTCCTTTCCTCATTTGCTCAGCTGGAGGTGAAACTGCCATTCCTGCTTTTATGTAATCCTTCACCACACTTTTTCTTTGCTTGAGTACATCTGTCCATTCCTTCTAAACTATCTGTTATGACTGCAGAGGAAACTCTATTTAAAATTGTCCAATGCACCTTAGCTTTCCAAAATTTTGTTCCTGCATGTATTTCTTTCATGTAGAGAAGAACATGTGTTCCCAGCAACAATTGTACATCACTAAAGTTATTTTATGTCTTTGCTGCAAAGCCATTAAAAAGGAAAGATCAGGGCTTCCCTCTGTGTCATGAAATTTCTGAAGTTACTTCGATTTATTTTAAGATAGTAGACTGTAACTGTTGGAGATCAGAAGCTGCTACGTGTATTATTAGCTATCTCTGTTGGGAACGGGGAGAGTGTAGCAACTGCTGGGAGAAAAGCCAGGCAGACAACTGGGATGGTGACCATTTTAGCCACCTTAATTTCAGCCATCAATAAATGTGAATCAACGCTCTGTGAAGCCACAGCTGAGGGCTGAAGTATGTAAATCTCCTCCAGCGAAGGTTATTGAAGTAAATGTGTATGAGTTCAAAATAAAGAGAGTAGGCAACATGAATTTTCATTTTGCTGACATGTCACTCATAGCCTACACTTTTCCTCTGTCTATGTGATATGAAGTGTCTTAGTAGCTGCTAAATGTCATCTCCTCACAGTGTTGCTACTTTATTTTGCTATGTAGTAAAGTCAATAGAAAGTCTTATTCACTGATTTACAAACACATATTAGATATAGGCTTAAAAAAATATTTATTTTATTTCATTTATTTGGTAATTTGTGAAGCTGTATCTTCAATACCCACATTCACTCCAATTTATTAAATTCCTATATCCTTATTTTATGTTAAATAATTTTTACAAACAAGACCCTTAAAGTCCCAATTTGATTAGCCCTTGTCTCAGTTACCTTCCTGTTGAAGCATTACAGAGCTTACATGCACTTTTCCTGCAACCTTTTTTTCTGATTTTTTTTATTCTTAGGTGTGGGTTGCAATTTTTCCCTTAATTGCAATTATTCCTAGTTTCGTATTCATTGAAATACTGTTTTCCAGCAAACTAAAACGATTCCATGTTATATACACATTGAGTATTTACAAAATGGCCACTGTAAATGAATCAATGAGGTGGAAATAGGATTACACTTACCTAAAACTACCAAGTAATACAATCTGAAATTTTAGTTTCTAGTATCTACTTAAATACTGTATTTACATTATAGGTTATATCTGGTTATGTCAAAGGAAATCAGAGGGGAGGGATGAAGTGTAGTCTTTGTGATTCTTAAATAACTACAAAAAGCAACGGATAATACATTTGTTTATAATCAGGTAGAGATTCATGAAATATTATTCCAGAGCTCTGTTCTGTTCAGCATATTACATCATCTTCAGCCAGATACCAATATTGATTGAATTCTTCCTGGTTCTTTAGAAACGACCTATGGCCTACCTCTCCCCTTGTTAAAACTCAGGTTATCACAAAGTGCAATATTTTTTGTCCTGAAAGCATTTCCTCATATCAGTAACGGCTGCAAAATGCATAAGCAAGAATTAGGTGGATTTTATTTAAAGTGGGAAGAGGATTCAGAATGGCCTTTAGCTAAACCTTTGTGCAGGCATACTGTGTGAGATGTGTTAAAAAAAAACCCAAACAAACCAACCCAAACAGTAATATGATTTTAAATTCTACTACTATTAGAGAAAATACATAACAAGATAATACTCTCCGGGCAGGAACAGCATAACTCCTAAACTGCTACACAAGCCCTTACACATCTTAAATTACCAGAGACAAAGATAATTCCAGTAAATATCCTCAGAAGTTCAGGAGCTTGCTTTCTCTTATAAAGCTGCAGTTTTGTAACATCATCTACCAAATTACTGTTTCCTTGAAAGTAACATGGAACATGAAAAGCAAATAGCTTGATTTACTTAATAATTGGGACAGAAATTCATATGGAAAACAAACAAAAGAAAGAAAACACCCAGCACAAGGCAGCAGGGTAACTTTGCCTCGCTTCTACTGAAATTCCAGGAAGACATAATAAAACAACTGTGTGTTCATAAATCTCCAGATATTAACAAATTGCTTCTGGATCTATAATAAGTGCAATAGGAGGTTGTACGAGACACTATTTCACTGGACTTTAGCGTTTTAGGAGGTAAAACACATGGTCAAAGGAACCGGTTCTTAATCCATATTCAGAGCTGAAAGAGGAGTTTGTGTTACTTCCTCCTCTTCAAAATCAATTTAAACTGTCAAAATAGCTTCAAATCGGCAGATTTCGACTTCGACCCCAAGAAAACCCTCTAAAGAATCAGACTGAGTTGTCGCCGTAACATTTCTGTCAAAAGGAAATTTTTAATTTGCAAGGAAAAACAAAAGTTTCTCTCTTCAGAGGTCTCTCCAGCAGCAGCACACCGGATTTATCGCCTCTCCTTTAACTCAGTCGGCGCGTTTGCGGCTGGAAACTCTCCCGAACGCAAGTACCTGCTCTTCTCCTCCCTCACCGGGGAAACGGGGCGATTTGGTGGCAGAAATTCCGAGGAAAATACACTTTTGTTAGTCCAAAGAAACACAAATCGAGCACACCGAAGGGCTCCCCGGCCGTGCGGCGGGGCGGGCTCTGCAACGCACCAATCACCGCGCGGCTCCTCTCTAAAAATACGAGCATCTGACCCGCGCCAGCCCAATTGTGTTCGCCTGCTCCGCAGAGGACGCCGCCGACCATGTCCGAGACCGCTCCCGCCGCCGCCCCCGATGCGCCCGCACCCGGCGCCAAGGCCGCCGCCAAGAAGCCGAAGAAGGCGGCGGGCGCCGCCAAAGCCCGCAAACCCGCCGGCCCCAGCGTCACCGAGCTGATCACCAAGGCCGTCTCCGCCTCCAAGGAGCGCAAGGGGCTCTCCCTCGCCGCCCTCAAGAAGGCGCTGGCCGCCGGCGGCTACGATGTGGAGAAGAACAACAGCCGCATCAAGCTGGGGCTCAAGAGCCTGGTCAGCAAGGGCACCCTGGTGCAGACCAAGGGCACCGGCGCCTCCGGATCCTTCCGCCTTAACAAGAAGCCTGGAGAAGTGAAGGAGAAAGCCCCCAGGAAGCGGGCGACCGCGGCCAAGCCCAAGAAGCCGGCGGCCAAGAAGCCCGCCAGCGCCGCCAAGAAGCCCAAGAAAGCGGCGGCCGTGAAGAAGAGCCCCAAGAAAGCCAAAAAGCCGGCGGCTGCTGCGGCCAAGAAGGCGGCCAAGAGCCCCAAGAAGGCGGCCAAGGCAGGCCGCCCCAAAAAGGCAGCGAAGAGCCCGGCCAAGGCGAAGGCGGTGAAGCCCAAAGCAGCCAAGCCCAAGGCAGCCAAGCCCAAAGCAGCCAAGGCGAAGAAGGCAGCACCCAAAAAGAAATAAATTATACCAGAAGAGTCCTGCTCGACATATTTTGTTATCCAACGGCTCTTTTAAGAGCCACCCACACTTTCCCTAAAGGAGCTGAGGCACCGAGGTCGTCAGTAATCTGCAGCAAGGATCCAGTAATTCGTAAGTCGTCAGAGGTCAATTGTATCTCTCCCCCTCCCCCTCTACAATTACCGAAAGAAACGCTAACGAGCACGGTATAACGCAGCGGCTTTTAGGGAAGTGTAGACTTTTACATCTTTTTTGCCGAGTAATTGGTTTGACTACCAGGAAGCAATGTTTTATAGTAATGATTTGATAAAAATCGGATGTATGTTTTTTTAAGAATATATTTTGTAACAAAAGCAATGCAATTGCCAGGCGCGCTACTACTGAGCCACGTCTAATCTAATGTATTATTTCTCTTAAAGGTGTCTCCTTAAATGGTTTTGTCTGTTTGGGGGAGGAGGGGAGGGTTTGCTTGCTGACCGGAAAATAGCCCTGAGCTTTCCCCTTCCTTTTGTTCTCGATGAGAAAGAAAAGGAGCTTTAAGTATTGAAAAAGCCCGCCCTGACCAAGGATTGGCCAGCGGAGAGCCCGGCCCGCTGCCCCTTCGCCCCCCCGTCCGCCTCCCGTCTCTGTCGCTGTTTCAGCCACTCTCGGAGAAGAAAAAGGCGGAAGAAGGGGGAGGGGGAGGGACGGCGGCTCTCACCAAAACACACCGTCCCCGTGTTCTCTGGTTTAAGAACTAATCGGAAAATACCCCATCCCCGGGAGAACTTGCTTTGCAAGGACATTTTGGCACGACTTTGTGTTAATAGAAACATGGAAAGCGTTGCTACTATCACCAAGCCAAAAATACTGTTAATAAACATGGACAAAAAAACGACAACGCGTGGGTTGAGTAATTAATATAAAACAGCGTTATGTACAGCAGGGATAACTGAGCTCTCTTAGGATTTTGTGGGCGGCTCTGAAAAGAGCCTTAGAATTATCTTGTCTGGGCGACACAACGTGGCGGTTTTTCCGAGGGGCTCACTTGGCTTTGGCCTTGTGGCTGTCGGTCTTCTTGGGCAGCAGCACGGCCTGGATGTTGGGCAGCACCCCGCCCTGCGCGATCGTCACCTTGCCCAGCAGCTTGTTGAGCTCCTCGTCGTTGCGGATGGCCAGCTGCAGGTGGCGGGGGATGATGCGCGTCTTCTTGTTGTCGCGGGCCGCGTTGCCCGCCAGCTCCAGGATCTCGGCCGTCAGGTACTCCAGCACGGCCGCCAGGTACACCGGGGCGCCGGCGCCCACCCGCTCCGCGTAGTTGCCCTTGCGCAGCAGCCGGTGCACGCGGCCCACGGGGAACTGCAGCCCGGCCCGCGACGAGCGCGACTTGGCCTTGGCCCGCGCCTTCCCGCCCTGCTTCCCGCGGCCGGACATCTCTGAATCAAGCTCCCGCTCCACCGAGCAGCCGGCAGCGCAGCACAGCACAACGCCCCGCACGGCGCTGCTCAGCTATAGCCCCGCTTCGCCGCCTCGCCCCGTCGCTGATAGGCCGAGAAGTAGGTCTCGGCTGGGCAGCCAATGAGGTGGCGAATCGAATTCCGGCCAATAGAAAGCGGCGGTAAGGGAAGTATGACGCGTTGATATGGTCTGACCAATGACTGTACGCAGAGGGAATGCTGCTCATTTGCATAAGAGAGCTATAAATAGGTGGCGCTGGGGTGACGCTCGTCACTGCGCTTTTGGCAGTTAACAGAGCGGTAGCTTCGGTGTGTGAGAGACGCGCGTTCGCTGCGATGCCTGAGCCCGCCAAGTCCGCCCCCGCGCCCAAGAAGGGCTCCAAGAAGGCCGTCACCAAGACGCAGAAGAAGGGCGACAAGAAGCGCAAGAAGAGCCGCAAGGAGAGCTACTCCATCTACGTGTACAAGGTGCTGAAGCAGGTGCACCCCGACACGGGCATCTCGTCCAAGGCCATGGGCATCATGAACTCCTTCGTCAACGACATCTTCGAGCGCATCGCCGGCGAGGCCTCGCGCCTGGCGCACTACAACAAGCGCTCCACCATCACCTCGCGGGAGATCCAGACGGCCGTGCGGCTCCTGCTGCCCGGCGAGCTGGCCAAGCACGCCGTCTCCGAGGGCACCAAGGCCGTCACCAAGTACACCAGCTCCAAGTAGAGCGGCTCCAGCGCCGGTTTTAACCCACCAACCCAAAGGCTCTTTTAAGAGCCACCCATATTTTCAATAAAAGGGCTGTATTGTCAACTATGGAAAAAAAAAAAACCTGAAAGCTCCTTGATTTACAGCCTGCTTGAGATTCCGTTAAAATTTTCTCTGCTGTTCTGTTTTAAAACAAAAACTTTATGTAAGCAACAAATGGATTTGTTGTGACTAGAGTTTTTGTGTTGAAAATGTTTGGGTTTGTGATTTTTTTTTTTCTATTTGTGTGGTACTGTTTTTTAACTTACATTTTTATAGCACTTTTAAACTTTGGTATGTATTTCTTGTGCAATACGTCACTGTTAAATCTAAGCATGTTCCCGTTACATACATTGTAAATGAAAGGAAAAACGGCTTCTGTGGTTTTTTAGTCGGGAAATAATCAGTTATTGCTAATGGAAACTTAACGTTGTTGTAAGTGCTGTAACACCATCTACCGCTTGATGGTGCTCACTCTTTTTCTTCCCTGGCAAAATGAGAAGTCTACACTGCACTATGCTGTGACAGAATCTATATAGCAACAAGTGATTTCTATCTTAATAAGCTGTTACCAGTAGTTCTGTGAATAATACAACACAAAAGTCCTTTCTAAAATTATTTATTCTTCACACTCATTTCTCTAGCAGCTTCAAATGGAGTTCAGAGATCTGTTCTCCAGGTGCCTTTAGTGCAAACTCTGAAATAGACAGGTTGCGTATTTTTGTACCCCTCTGTAAGTCCACTACCTAAGAAGATGAATAAAACACAGTGTATTATAGTCCCTAGGTTTTTGTGGAAAGGGACGTATGGGTCACTAGAAAGGGATTTTAGAAAATATACTTACTGAAAGAACTCAAATTTAGGTTATGGTGGTTATAATTTGAAAATTTTGATGGTGTCTCCTATTCTCAATAATCAGTCACAAAAAAATCAAAGTCATTTACGTTATTTAAAAAAAACAAAAACAAAAACAAAAACACAAACCCCACAAACAAACAAAAAAAACCCCAACCCTTGTTCAAAATGCAACTATCATAGGGCATCCCTAGAATAGGAGCTTGGTGGTGCCTTTTGGCCTCCTAGTACAGGGATCCATAAACACTGTCTTTCCCTTTCCTGACTTTATGTGCTCCCTGCTGTGTGCTTCTTTAATGTAGCTTTCAAAGAAATTTCAGGGGATTTTATTTTAAAAGGATGTTTCAGTATATGAAATTGTTTCTAGGCTCATGAAACACTTCACTCAACAGAAAAGGTAGTGTTGTTTATGATTGCTGCTTCCAATCTCAGTATAAATGATAAGGCAATATTAGGGGGTATGACGTGAATGTAACATTTCTACCTGCACACACATGTCATTAGATCTGATTCTAATGCATCCATTATTTTTCCATCAATGCTGAGACCAAAGTTTCTGAAATGACAAAAAGTAGCTACATTGGAAAATTCTGTGTACTTGTTATTTTCACGAATGGGAAAAACAGTAGGATTTAATCTCAGCAAGAAGAGCAAAGAGAACAATTTCATCCCGCAGGAGGATGAACATTCAAAATGAATAAAACAGTGTGAATATAAAATCATATACCAGCATATTCTTCCATCTTTCATGTTCCTGAATGTCCTTTCCTATTTAGTTCAAAGCAGCTTTCTTTGTATTCTGAAGTCTAGATAATGACCCAGATGATTAACTACCCAGATGATATCGCCCAGCAACAGTCAAAACAGCACAGTGTTCAAACACAGCATCCGTATGTAGCAGAAATGCCATTGCAACCTAGACTATGGTAGGAGTTATGTTGTTGCCATCTCAACAGGTTTTGAGGCTCTAGGTTCTGCTCAAAGAAGATGAGCCTCCAATCCACTGAGTAAATCCCAGAGAGGCTTGAGCTGGGTGCCTCCAAAGGGGAACCCCTGTCCTGGGTTGAAAGACACAGGACTAACTTTTCTTCTAATACTGGGGAAAATTGCACTTTTAGAAGACTCCAGTGTCTGAGTTTGTGAAAATAATTACTTTATAACCAGCCAGGCTCTGTGGGATTCAAGGTCAGTGTTTTCAAGCCTTGCCAGGTGCAGGAACAAGGAGGAGCAGGGCCTGGGCATTTGGCCCAGGCTGGCCAACAGGATTATTTCATACCATGAACGTCACACTCAATATAAATTAGAAAAGTTTGCTGTGTAGCTCTCTCTCCCTTGATGGCAGTGGTCCAGACAACTCCTTGCCCCGGTGCCGGACCCCTGAGGCCTTCCCTTCCTCCTGAAGCCGTTGCGCTGGCAGTGTCCGCCATTTGCTGTCCCTGCTGGGAGTGCACGGCTTCCTGCTGAGAGAACTGGCCGAGTATAATTCCTGTATCTTATATCAGTATCAGGATTAATACTGGTTCTTTAGTATTATTGTTAATTATTTGGTCTTAATCTATTAAAGCTATTTATATTTCAACCCTTGTGTTTCTTTCTGTTCCCCGATTCCCCTTTCCGGGTGGGGAGAGGGCATCAAGTGATAGAATAATTGTCTAAACGACAATAGATTGTTATGGGTTTTCTCAAACCATAACAACCCCCCATTTATACCAGTACCACCCAGCACTCAATCACCAAGTCCAATTTGGTCGGTGGTCTCCTGATTTCTTATTAGTTTTCTTTGTCCTTGGGCTAGCTGCCTTCTGATGTTACCTCATTCTCTTGGAATTGTTTCCTTGGTCCTTATCTTCTTTCTGCTTGCATTTGCTGGTTTCAGCTAGTTCTGTGTTCACAGCATTAGTTTTATTAAAAGTTTACTCTTGGTCAGCTCTTGTGGCCTTTTTAGCACCCAATGAGTGGCTTGATGGTTTGAGATAACAAACCTGATAAAAGCACATTAGAAGAAATTTGTCATAAGCATTCATTGTATGGGATAAATATTCCCAATGTTGCTTTCAGGGTGGGATATTGTAATACTTTAGCTGCTGTATGTGCTCCCTCTTGTGTTGTTTATTATCTTTGGGTCATGGGTCAAGATTATTCTCTGTGCTTTGTAGTGTGGTCTTCTGATAGGATGAAATCGTGCGTGCTCTGGTTGTACTCATTAATGATTAAGAGTGATGAACAACCTGCTTCTATTGCTAGGTACTTTATTAATTCTGAATATGTTTCAGGTCTTGACAGCAATGTGCACTTGCAACCCAGACAGCCAACCATATCCTGGGGCATCAAAAGAAGCATGGCCAGCAGGTGAAGAAGGTGATTCTGCCCCTCTACTCCTCTCTTGTGAGACCCCACCTGCAGTACTGCATCCAGCTCTGGGGTCCCAAAAGGTCTAATGCAGAGTAGAGTCTCACAATAGACTATTGTGGCTTGAACGAAGTCACATCACTGCTGAGTGCTGCCGTGCTGGACATGCTAGAACTTCTATACAAACTGGAGTCTAAGGCTGGTGTGCCACAACTGATGTTTCCAATGCATTTTTCTCAATCCCTATGGCAGCAAAGTGCAGACCACACTTAGCTTTCATTTGGAGAGGCATCATGTAGACTTGGAATTGACAGCCCCGAGGGTGGAAACACAGCTGGGTAAACAAATAACTATTTTCTAGTTAACTGACCAACAGTGAATCAGAAACAAGAAATAGATGACATAATTTCACTGAATTTTTAGAGTTGGAAGGGACCATAGAGATCATCCAGTCCAAATCCCCTGCTGAAGCAGGGTGGCCTAGAGCCAGAGCATGTTACTCAGGACGGCATCCAGGAGGGTCTTGGAAATCTCCAAAGATCTTGATTGAAAACCTGGAAAAATCACACACTGACTGTAACAATTTTATACTACTTCCAGCTCTTTTTTTTTTTTTTTTTAAACAGAGTAAATCAATATCTGCTCACCTACTCATGAAATAATTTTTTTTATTCCCAATGATCAGAGATTATAATTATTCAACACACAGCAAATTATAACTATGTTAGTTTTCCAGAGACTTTCTTTTCCAGTATTAATAGAAAATAATATATTTCAACATAACTAGCACTGAGGGAGAAAGTATTAACTGCAGCTAGGGAAAAAAGATTTGGACTTGTGTATGCCTTGACGTAATGCTTTTGGCCAGTAATGAAAATGTTCTTGGTTCAGATTGTAAAGGAAAAGATTGAGCTTCGGGCTCCAAGAACCTGGTCTCAGCGTTGTGCTACATCAGAGCACAGCGCAGCTCAAGATGTGACATAAAACTCACTGGAGAGGGCTGGAAGTAGAGGGGAATGCGACTGGGAACACCCCTCCTCCCTTCCCAGCTCACAGACCCTGCAAGGAAAGAAGCAGCATCACAATGAGCAAAGGCAACTCTTTCCTCCGGGACTGGGGTCACAACAACTGGAGGCCTATGTAGGTGGAACTGTTTTTTTTAGGTTTTGGTGTGGGATTCTTTGGTGGCTGCAAAGAACTAAGTTATTTGACACCCATTCTGATGGAAAGAATGTTCTAAAAGCGTTCCTTGTTCAAAAATTGGATACTAAGTGTTAATTCACTTCCATTCACTTTTTAAGACAGAAGAGCTCAGGAAGCAATTCTGGACATACATGCAATTTAAAAGTAGAAAATAAACAGTTTTTGTGTGAAAGGAGCATCAGGACAGTTTGGCATTTTCATCACCGGTAAAATCCATAACCTTTTTGTACTTGTAGCCTTACTTGCACTGAGTGTAGATTTAGTTCTTGGTCATAGGAAAATGGAAGAAATATTCCCAAAACACGAAGAGGGCACTGATGGAGATTTACAGCTGAATTTTGGACTTCAGAGGGAGTAAAGGATCTTGCACTAGTTTCGTGCAGCATCAGAGCTATGAAGAAATGCATGCATCTCTTTTATGCATCCCCCTTTCCTTTTGTAGCAAGCAGCAACCACTGTAATGAGAAACGGCTGGAACACTCCACATTATACAGTGTTTTCACCTTGTGGGCTTGGGGACACAGCAAGGTAAGCGTCTTTGTTCATCCCGCTTAGAAAAGAGGACAAGAATTACCATAGGAAGGGCATAGCCCCAATATTTTTACACGTCGTGATACGTCTTTAAAGAGGGATGTCTCCAAACACCAGCACACGGGGCTGACAGTACGGCAGGCAAACCCGGGTATCTGGGCTCATCCGAGCTGGCTCAGGAAGCCCAGACAATATATCTGGGTCTATGTATGTATAATGTATAATCGGCTCCACTCCCTATGTGCGGGAGCTTTTAAACTTTGACTTTTGGAATCGTGGGTACAAATCCCATGGAAAAGGGGAAACGGTCACACGGGCGTAAAATACACCTAATTACCGGATTTTTAGCCTTAATCGATACTTAAGTGTCATGCAAAACTTAATGGGATGTGTATGTGTTGTATGTCGGACTTACAATTGCAACTTCTAAAGGCGCGTTTATTGACGGGACAAAAAACAAACAACAAGGGGTTCTAAAACATTGATAAAAACAATTAGAGAAATTAACCCTTTTCATAAGGCCATGAAGGAAAGTAAGTCTTTTACCCTTTTTTCATTTTTACATTATTTTCGCCCTGAGAACATTCAAATGGCAGACCATATTTCTCAGCAGGAAATGACACGGGGCCTAAACAGGGAACACCAGGAGTTTCAGAAGAACGGGAGTGTATTTACAGCATTTATCTGAACTGAATGACGTGGCTTAATTCTTGGCAATGACAGAGATTTTTAGCTTTGTTTAAAAAGAGAAAAGAAAATGCCGCGTTCTGGATTTAAAAACCCACGTCCCCGCTCTGCCTTTCTCAGTGATATCTGACCTGGGTTTTTTTCTGGCTCTTCTCCTCGCTGTTTCCAGGCTCCTCGGGTCGCAGAGCCCTCTCAGCCTCCACCCCCCGCCATGCCCGTCTCCTCCGTTAACATACCCAAAAAAAATCACGCAACAAAGCTAATATTGCGTATTAGATATGAAACACCTTTGAATATTTTGGTTCTTTTTCTGCTTCCCTCCCTCAAGGAATAAATCGCACAACGAAGAAACAAATAAATTCATACATAATTGTCTCCTTTCAACGTATGGCCGGCTCCTGACCGGGGGGCCGAAACAGCGCCCGCTTCCCCTCCTTTCCTCAAGCCTGGTGAACGAGGAGGGGAGTGTGGGCGGTGGCGGCTGCCCCATCAGCCGCAGACCTGCGTGGGAAGGGGCCGGGAGCGGGACCGTGCGGGGGGGACGCGGGGGATGCGCTGCCCTTGGCCGCCCCGGCCGCCGGCTCCTCGGAGTTGCTGAGCGGCCTCCATTGGCACGGCCTGGAGGAGGCAGGTTTCTCTTTGTCGCTCGGTCACAGCCGTTTTCACCTCCCTCTCCCCTTCTGCTGTTGCCGAACCGAGCTAATGTTCAAGAAATTACCGGCAATCCGCCCGTGCCGCGGGTAGGAGACTGCAAACGGTCACACCTCGCCTTGTTAACAAATGTATGTTTTCAAAACCAGTCTGCTTATCCAGGTTTTAGCAAACCACATCGATGAAGCACCCTCACACAAAAAAGTCTGTACAATATAGAACCATATAGGGTTGGAAGGGACCACTGGAGATCATCTAGTCCAGCCCCCCCGCTGGAGGGGGGGATATACTTCTGAGGCCTTCTGGTTCTTCATACTTTAGACCTCAAGTAGTCCTATGAGTTTTTTTAAGACTTTTTTTTTTCCCCAGGTATATGATTTGAAACTAGGGCTATAGAATGCCAAAACACAGTCTCCAACAGGGAAATAAGAGGAAGAGCTACAAGAAAAATAATTAATACTCTATCTTCTGTACTATTACATTTCTACTGTTGATTCCAGAGCTTTCATTTATAAGGGAAAGCAATAAAAGAATTTGCCCTCGTGAAAGTTTCTACAGTCTAGAAACTAGAACTTAAGTCCTCTCGCACAACATTGAGGGGATGCACGTGTACCCAGGGAGACTCACAGGACCCTTCCCCATCTTTGTTACAATCCCCAGTGCTTCCGAGGTGCAAGTGACAATTTCATTGTGTGGAAGAAACAGACACAGAGGGGAGTAGGGACGTTCCTCGTCTGTAGAGGAGTGAGCTTATTACCGATTCTATTTCGGTAAAGCTAAACTCGGTGAACACCAACCAGGTCCACAGATACGATAGCCCACGTCTCTCTTCTCTGTACTCAAGAACAGAGATGGGGAACACTGGGCATGTTGAAAATCGCTCCTGTTGATCCAGCGCTGATCACCGGGGCCCTGCCACCATGGAGCCCCCCCCCCCC